TGAAAAACCAAAAAAAAAAAAAAAAAAGAAAGAAAGAAAGAAAGAAAAAGAAAAAGAAACAGGTTTGATTGAACTTCTCTTATGAAACTCTGAATAGCTAAGAGTTCTAACCTTGTCATTTCATAGGATGCCAGTCATATAGGACCCTGTAACTCAGAGGGTTGTAATACGATGATTAATTATTAACCTGTGCTTTGGACCTCAGTCCTCCTTTCTCCTTTAAAGAGAAAGATCCCATTTTTTAACATAATCATTTTGCAGTGAAGAATCACGTTATTTTTCTAAATGAAGAAAACCAACCAGAATTAACCCAATATAGTCAAATCTTGAACACATTTTACAGTTTCCCTTTGGATTCACTATAGGTTATATCCCCCTGTATAGGGGTGTGGCCGTCTATAACCTCCCTCATATCCTCAGGTCCGGCTTTCTGCTACCTCCATTTCTTGGGTCCTGCCTTCTCTCTTGCTTCTCAAACAACATGCAAATTTTCATCAGAGTCCTTCTTGTGGTTATATATATATATATATATATCATAGCAGAGATAACCTTAAGTTTGTATCAACATCAACATATAAAAACCTGTACCAATGTAAACCATTTGAGAGTAGCAGTAGTTTTTCTCACCCCAATCAATAATAATTTGTAACCTATTCCCTTAAATGATGACATTTATATTTATAATCCATTGAATTCAAATGACCAAAACCCATATATTTTTTCTTTTCCTGTGGAAGCAAAAGCATAATTTTCCCCAAATATATTTAGGCTGATTTAATTCAACAGTTTTTCCAAGCAGTGTTAGGCTAGCAGCCAAGACCTTGACGTTATCACAGTGAAGATGATGAAGAACTTGGCTTAGGAAGGAAGGGAGGGGGAACAGTGGGCACAGAGTGTGCCCTTGGCAGTCCTGCAGGAGAGATTGTCAACCCCTCCAGCCATAATCAACCCCAGATTCTCTGTTCAGTGTCCACCGCAGCTTATCAATTCCAGGCAGTCAACACTCCGCTGCCCCGCCTGAAACCAATGTGCATCCCTGTAGCCCCACCTGCCTGTACTGAGCATGTGCCCCACCCCCACCCTACCCCCACTCCCACCCCCCAACCCCCCAACCCCGCCCTCTGTGAGAGCTGCTGGCTGGCTGCAAGCCTCTCCTGCATGCCAAGTCAAGCCCCAAGTCAAGCCCCGCCCACACTGTGGGCTTCCCTGAAGCCCCATTCCTGCCCCCTGCAAGAGCCACAGCTAGCTGTGAGCCTCTCTAGCATGCCAGGGCAAGCCCCGCCCTCTCTGTGGGCCAGAGAGCAAGGAGCAACAGAGGGAGGCGGCCCTCGCCATGCCTCTCTCTCTCTTTCAGGAAAATGATGGAGGTTATAGACAGAAACAATTAACAATAAATAGCACAGACAACCAGGACAGGTACACCAGCACTGAGACAAGGGCCTCGCTCCCGGTTAAGCGAGCCCCACCTGACAAGCCCCACCTGGCAGGAGAGACCTGCTTACCTCAGTCCAACCCAGGGGGCCACAGTCCCCTTGCAGTACAGGTGAGTCAGGGACGTCTGCAGGGCTCATGTGGCAGAGTTGCCTCCACTGTGTCCATCAGGCAAAGCCTGGCCTCCAGGTTCAGGCAGCTTGAGCTTTCCAGAAACACGAACGGGTGGAACAGAACAGCAACATAGTAACAGTCAGAACACAGACCAAGACAAAGAGCGCTCACACTCCTGCTTACCAGGTGCTCAATGGGATGGAAGTGCTATGGGGAGTTGCCGGCCGATGTACCATATGTTAGGGTCCTGGAGAGACCCCACAAAAGATCACCATCCACATATGCAATCAGCAAGAGTGTTTATTATTCCAGCATGCTGTGGTCTGCCATCCCACACAAAGGCAAGATGGCAGTGACCCCAAGAGGGATGTGCGGGCTCCTTTTAAGCATAGCCAGGGGGAGGTCCTAAGGCAGTTAGGTCACTTTGGATATGTTTGGCTCAAGCAAGTGGCAATCATGTTGTGCATTCTAATTGGCCTGGGCTAGTCAGGGGCTGGGGAGGGCTACAGTCTTCCACTTTTTGGCAGGCCTGGACAAGTGCCAGGCTTTGTCCTTATTTGGTTATCACCTTGAGCTGTTTGTGGCTCAGGCCTGTACTGTATGTACCAGGCCTCCTCATCCTTGCTGATTGGGGTGTTGGAGATTGATTGTCCTCTGTTCATGGCTCTTTTAGAAACTGTCTATTCAGTCTCAGGAAACTGAAATTGAGGCCCGATCTCTGAGAGGAGACTGAGCAGCCTCTTATGGGGTCTGCTCGGTCCTCTCGAGAGGACAGCATTGTCTGAAAACCTCGCTTGTCACCATTGAATTTTAGTGCAGAAAACTGAGATGTTCACCCATAAGGAAGGCGCTCGGTGCAACATCGAGATGAAGAGCAGAGTGTTGAATGTGTGGGACACCCTTACATGTGTCAGCCTATAACAATACCAACACTGTCCCATGGACTTTAAATACTACCTGACCCAGGAAGATAAGGATACATGGTAGGCAAGCAAAACAAACACCCACAGGTGATAAAGAACTTTCTTGTAAAGCAATTATTTGAAATACATAATTTTGCCATTTAGTAAGATGAGTGCATGGTGGAGAGATGGCTAAGGCCACTCTCCTCTTACAGGGGACCTGAGTTTGGTTACAAGCACTCCCATTGGGTCGCTCACAGCACCCATCACTCCAGCCTCAGGCAGATTCCTTTTTCTGGCCTTGTGGGTACCTGCCTCACACATACATAACACACACACACATCCACATGCATACAATTTAAAATAAAGTAAAATGCATTTCAAATAAATAACTAAAAATGAAGGCCTCTTTGCATGCTAATGAGACACATGCTTGTCCAACACAACATAATCTAAGGATGCTCTGATTGGGCCCTGACCTGATGGAGACCTGTGCTAAGAAATACTAAGTCTTTAACCCAAAGTCTGGCAATCACAGCACTGTTTCTACAGGAGAGGAAACCTGTCCACACAGTGGAAACACTGCATTCACAGTAAAGACAAGTCTGAGCTGAGGTGTGTCAGGCAACATTGGCAGGTGTGTCGTGTGTGTGTGTGTGTGTGTGTGTGTGTGTGTGTGCGCGCGCGCACACATGTGAGACAAAGCCCAACACACTTGCATGCTGACGGTTCACTGACGGTCACTATACATTGACATTCTATCTTCCTGTACTGGGGATGGAACCCAGGGCTTCCCCCTGCTTCCATGTTTATTGTAGCATAATTCTTCATGACTAAATGTACAGTCAGCCAGGATGCCTATCAAGGGATGAACAGATAAAGGACTGAAAGTTTCATCTACTGAGTAACGAAAATTATGTAGATATAGACCGATAGGTTCTGGTGTATGTTTCAGTTTGTATGTATCAGTTTCAATTGTGTGCGTACATGGATATCCATGTGTTCACATATGCATATCTAGACTCAAAAGGAAAGAAAACGGAAGGATTAAGGCCCTGAACTGCTTTACCTAGAAACCCTCACCAAAGAGGAAACAGCCCTCTTGATGTTTCTTCACTTTCTCCCAGCACAGGGCCCCCTGCCCTCCCAGGCCACAGCACAAGGAGGCCCAGGGTGGCTTAGCAGCCACTCCAGAGGCCACCGCTGCTAACGGTGGAGGCATCAATGTGCTGCCAACGCTGCAGGTGCACTGAGAGCAAGGGCTGTCGGCCGTGGGGGTTTCCACCCAGACTCCAGGGGCTGCGCTGTGCAGCCTGCAGGCCCAGAAGTTGGTTGCAGGAGTAGAGAGTACCACAAAGAGACTTCAGCGTGGCATCACCTGGGAACCATAGACGAGGAACCATTAAGGCCCCAAACTCCGTATGTAGCGCAGGCTGGCCCCAAACTCCGTCTGTACCCCAGGCTGGCCCCAAACTTGCAGCTCTTCTGCCTCAGTCTTGCAACTTCTAAGGAAACAGGCATATGCCACCACACCCAGTTTAGAGGCGAGAGACTTCAAACAATGGTATAGAAACAACCAGTGTTGGCCAGGTGACTTCAGGACACAGCAGTTTAGTAGGAAAAATGTGTGTGTGTATGTATATACACATATTTACATACATATATATATATTTATGTAACTTAATAAATTTGTGTGTGTGTGTGTGTGTGTGTGTGTGTGTGTGTGTGTGTGTGTGTGTGTGTGTAAATTTGCTCTAGAAAGTTCCCAGGGGCTGGAGAAATGGTTCGGGGGTTCAGAAGAACTGCTCTTTCATAGGACCCTCGCTCAGTTCCCAGCACCCACCTGGGGTAGTTCACAGCTCCCTGCAACTCCAGCTCCAGGGGGAATCTGCTGTCTCTGGCCTCCTCAGGCACCATCACTTACATGCACAGACACACAGAGATAGAGCACACACACACACACACACACACACACACACACACACACAGTTAAAATAATGTTTTTTTCCAATGCAGGGTCTCTCTATATAGCTTTAGAGCCTATCCTGGAACTCACAGAGATCCACCTGCCTCTGCCTCCTGAGTGCTAGGATTAAAACCACGCCACTACCACCTAGCATTAAAATAAATCTTATAGGCCGGGCGGTGGTGGTGCATGCCTTTAAGCCCAGCACTCGGGAGGCAGAGCCAGGTGGATCTCTGTGAGTTCGAGGCCAGCCTGGTCTCCAAAGCGAGTTCCAGGAGAGGCACAAAGCTACACAGAGAAACCCTGTCTCAAAAAACCAATAAATAAATAAATAAATAAATAAATAAATAAATAAATAAATCTTATAAAACACTCTTTAGAAAAGGAAAAGCAACTTTCTAAATGACTGTAAACATGTCCACCATGTTCCCGCATTGCCCGTGGCAAGGAGATCCTCACACCCACTTCTGAGCTCTGTTCAGCTGTTGACTAAATTGACTCGTATGAACCACAGGCTAAAACCCAACAATCCCCCAACACTGTGTAAATGCACAAGAGAAACTGGAGTGAGGGGACACCTCCTGTGGCTTAGGTTCACACAGTGAAAACACTGTGCTGTGACCCGGTGCTCTGTGTGTTCTTTGGAAAGGTGTCTACCAAGGCTTTTGACAATTTTAATCAAGTTGTCTGTCACCTGGTTTCCAAACTGTTGTTTGTGTATTTTCAATACCAACTCTTGTCTGATGACGATTTCAGATCTTTCCTCCTGTCCCTTCCGCCCACTCCCCACTGAGCTCAGTCCCTTCACAGTGCAGGACATTGCTGCATTTGAGGTCCCTCACTTCTGGTCTCATGTTCCAAAGATGATTGCCATAACCACACCACAAGGTTCTTCACTTCTTATAGGATCCCATAGGCTCAGGTCTTTATTGGTTTTTCCATCGAATGTCACAACTGGTGTAGAAATGTCATGTGTGTTCTCCATCATGCTCAAGTGTCTTCCTTCCATATCGCATTTATTGGAAACTTCGGTCATGGAAGAATGTCTAAATCTGAAAACACTTTTTCTATAAACACTGAGTCTGTGGTTTGATGTTTCTTGCATTTTCTATCACCTTTTCTGATGTGCATGATGAAATACCTTTGCATCCCCGAGACAAGCCCTCACTAGTCATGGTGTGGGATTCTTCCACGTGGCTCACTGAAGTGGGTTTGCAGGTGTTGAGCTGAGGACTTTTGAGCCTCGTGTGTCATCTGCTCACAGTGTCCTTGTTTGATTATGGTATCAAGATAATGGTGTTCTGTTAAAATGGTTGGAAGCATTTCCTCTTCAGTGATACAGAATCTTGCCTTTAGCTCTTCATCAAATGTTTCATAGTAAAGCAATATGATCCTGAGATTTCCATGGATGGACAAATTTTCTATTATTGGCTCAGTCTCCCTACTCATGAAAGGTCTGAGGTTTGTTCACGTTGTGACAACTTCAGTTAGGACAGTTCCAAGGAGGCAAGGGAAAGGAAGTTCTCTGAGGGCCTCAGGCTGTGGCAGCTGATCTTCCAGGTCTTTCATGTCAGAAGCAACAGGAACCACTTCTTCTCTGCGGTTGGTTTCCCTGGAGTGAGCCCCTGGGTGCCCAGTGGCTGGCAGAGCCTGTGTGGCACTCACTGCGGGATCACTGCAGGATCACTGCGGGATCACTGAGGGATCACTGTGGGATCACTGCAGGATCACTGCGGGATCACTGAGGGATCACTGCGGGATCACTGCGGGATCACTGAGGGATCACTGCAGGGTCACTGCAGGATCACTGTGGGATTAGGCACAGCTATGAAGACCAAGCCCCCTACAGAATAGCTCCACAGGACTCCTGGGAGGTCATGGGCCCCCAGGGGTTTCCTCCGCCCAGCTGATACTGGATACCCTCCCTCATCCTTGTATCTGTCCCCGATAGCAGCAGGTGCCCTCACTACGCAAGTCTCCCTGTGGCCATGGTACAGGGTCCCTTTGGTAAGCACTTGATCGCACTGATAAAAGATTTTAAAAACAGACCAGAGAAACTTGAATGGAAACGTGGACACCAAGCTGAGGTAGCAATCTATTTTGTACAATGTTATGCAACAAATCCCAATTCTATTAGGGTATGCTATGACCACAGTTATATAGTTGAGGGGCTGGAGAGATGGTGTAGCTATTAAGAGCACCTGGGTTTCCATCCCAGTTCCCACAGAACAAGCCTGGTGTGAACCTGTGCACCTCCAGCCTCAGCAAGGGCTGGAGAATCCCTGGGGCTTTCTGGGTGCCAGCCTAGCCTAAAAACCTGAACTCAGGAAAGACCCTCACTCATAGGAAAAAGGTGGAGAATGATGAGGACACCCTCATGTGGCCTCCACACACCAGCACACACATATACATACACCCCACTCACACCTCACACACATACACTATACATATAATGTCCTAATAACTTTATAATGGACCCATGCCAAGACAAGTTTTAGCAAAATTTTTAAATTACTATTGAAATTCTAGTGATTTAATTTTATAGCTATGAAACTTTCTAAATAACGTTCTCATTAACTTACACCATAAAAATTGAGTAAGGATTGTAACCATCAGGGTTGACATGAAACAAAGTCCTGAAGGGGGCCGGGCATCTGATGCTGGAGGCCTCCTCTTCTAGGGCTGGCTGCTTTCCCTAGGAAACACCTCGTCAGACACTAGGCCTTCAGCACTGAAGGGAAACACAGCTTTGTGCGTACACGTGGGCTTTGTGATCAGAAGCCCAGACATTTGTTGGTGTAACTTTCAGTGTCTGCTGTCTAGAAAGACTGCTGGTGAGTGGGTTATGAGGGCCACTGGGGTATGAAGGTCACTGGGGTATGAGGGTCACTGGGGTATGAGGGTCACTGGGGTATGAAGGTCACTTGGGGGTATGAAGGTCACTGGGGGTATGAAGGTCACTGGGGGTATGAGGGTCACTGGAGTATGAAGGTCACT